TGGATTTTTAATTGCAATTTTTTATATTCAAACAGACGATCATTAAATATGATAGATAAATAAGTAGAAAAGAATATAGTAATACATAATACTCTCCTCATATGTAATACCCTCCTTAAACGTAAAGGCGAGTTTCCACGATAGGAAAAAAAATAATAATCACGTGAGCATGCGTAACAAAAGTTTTTATTTGTCCGAAAGTAAACTGCGCATGCTCACGTGATTATTTTTCCGTTCCCTTCCCCTTTTTTGTGTACAAAAACGGATGAGTGGAAACTCACCTTAACACAGTGGGCCAGAATCCCATTTTTTTGGAAAAAAGTCATAACTTTTTTTCCCTTTATCCATAGGCCTCAAAAATTTGTATATAAAGTAATTGGATGATTATAATTTAAGTAAGCATGGTTTTTTGGTGGTTGCTATAGCAACCCCGATTGCATAGAAGCACATATTTATGCTTAGTTCCAAAGTGTTATTTTTAGCCAAATGTTTCTAAACTTGTTTTGCAAATTAAAATAATTTGATGATTTTAATATAATTGAGCATAACTATTTGTTTTAATTTACAGTCACACTTTAATATTAGTACACACATTTCCAAAATTATTAAGATTAAATACAAAAAATACAATAGACACATCTATAAACTAATATAATCTGTGGATGACATCAATAAGTCAATAACTCCTGATCGTAAGTTTTTCGTTTTGGTGTTACTTCCTGCTGTCTTTCTCATAGATGCAATAAATGGATCGGATGTACACAGTAGTCGATTTAACAAATCTTGGTTCGTTTTCACACGAGATGATTTTCTTGCAAAATATTAACAATAGTTTTGAAAGTCTTTATTGCGCGCTTCTTGAGCTTCTTCAGAATACATACCAATGGGTAATGCTAAAGTTTTAATAATTTCAGAACCATGAATTAAAATTTTGTGCAGAGATTGTGGCATATATTACCAAGGAAAATGATGAACGTAAAGACGAGCTGTTTTTAAACAGAAAGCCTCAAATTTTTCAGTGTCAATGTCTAAACCACATGAAATTGTTGCCAATATAATATGCAAATTTAGAACCAGTTCAACATCAATATTTAAAATTTCTGCAAACTTTTCTGCATTTTGATGTGCTCTTCGAGCCGCATTTCCATCATTTGATGTTCCACTACCACTAGATTTCGGAACATCAACTATCAAGCCCATTTCATCTTTAAATCTATTTTGAATTTGTTGTTTCATAGCCTTTACTTTAGATTTATGATGTATTTTGATTTTTTTGTTATTTATATCAACTTCAGTATCTTTCAAGTTTGAAATCTCAACCCTAATGAGATTCTCCTCTGATTTAGAAACTGCTGCCGTTTCTTTTTCGAATTTAAAACGCAGAGGTCTACAGTAAATTGTTGATGATGGTCGTGAGTTTCGCCAAGCTGGGTAACGTTTTCCATTTGAAAAGCCACACAAGTCCAATGGTACTAGGCAAGTAATAAAAAGTGCCTGCTCATCGTTTAAATTTCTTGTTACTGTTTCTTGCGATATTTGTTTATATATGGGCTGTCCTGTGGCACCATCAAAGCCTATTTTGTATCTTAGAGAAAGACTATCTGGAGTGCCTTCAGTGCTAAGGACATCATACTGTGCCTGGCATATTCTATTTGATGTATGATCCACCAAAGCTTGCAGTTTTATTTCAGCTGAAAAATCTGAGACAGATATATCTGCAGGATAGCATAACAACTTTGCATCTCGAACATCATTGTATGGCGGATATATATCAAATCCCTTTTCAACTGCTTGATTTCTAATAATTTGGTAGGAAGCTTTTGTTAATTTAGCATCTAAAAGAAGACAAAGAGCTTCATCTTTAGACATTCTAAAATCTTTTTTTGAGGTTTTTTCAATTGGATTTTCTTTTCTCCTTTTAATTTCTGAAGCAAATTGCAACGCAGAAGCAGAATACATTTCAGTTAAGTGACTAACTTTATGTTTTTTGGTTTTAGTAGAGTTGTCATCAAAGTTTGCCTTAATTGGCCTTCCAATAGGTATTGGTGTTATATTTATATCTTCAGGAACATGGCTTTGCAGCCGTTTTTCATTCTTTTTTTCAAATCGAGCCATGTTGCTATCTGACTTGCGCCACCTATCTCTTAGATGCGCTAGTATAGTTCCTAATTGCTTCTTTTTGCAATCCAAATTCATTGCCTCAATAAGTGTTCCCTCAATACCACAGTCAGATATTTGTAGATTATTACGCTTGTGCACTAAGAATGCATAGATATCAAAATATTTCATTTTCATCCTACAAATACAAAAAATATATTATTCATGAGACATTTGGACAACCAAACATGATACAAGCTCCACATATTTACATGTTCATTTTAATGTGATAAAAAAGATGTTTTGCTAAAAAATTACAATGATTGGAGCCTGGGAACACAAAAAAAACCAGAATGTTGGCTCTCCTGTCCCAGACATGCAACATAAAAATTATGTATAGAGACGCAGTCGACATCCGTCGACAATAGGTAAAATATATATCGATTATGTACATATTAGACAAGATATTTCAAATCTCAAATTTCTGGAGGACCTTGGAGCGCAAAAGTATTTTATTATTTAAGTGAAGTTTTCACTAAGAAAAGTACTTTAAATACGCATTCATTAGAAATCAATTTATATGATATAAATTACGTGCAAAATAACTTTGCAATAAACCATTTGATAGGTAAGACTTAGTTTTATTAAATTATGCAATAAAAAAATGACGCTCAAAATATTAATAAATTTTTTTTGCTTATTAGTAACACGAAAAATATTATTAAATAAATTAAAAAATTAAAAAAATTAAAAAATACCTTTTTTAAAAACAGTTAAAAATGCAAACGACATGATAGTTATGCAGAAATATATACATTTTATAAAAGCCAGATGTTTAAGCTATAAAATGGTATATAATAATGTCATTTTGGAGAATGTTTTTTAAATACTTTTTTCCACCATCTGGCCCACTGTGCTTAAATCAAATTGTTTAAACCGGTTATGATGATTAAATGTTGTATCGGCATGGTTTTATCTTTCTACTTTGCTTTTTCAATTTGGTTGCCAGCGTCAACCTAATTTTTGATTTAGAACTATGATTTTAAACTAAAACATTTCCGTGTTGAATAAATACTATTTATTCTTAACTGTATTTTTTTTGAGGCTTCATTTATCAAACGTTGGTGGTAATTTTAGTTATGCCACTGTGAAAGCGTTGATTGTTAAGTATGTGTTTACTTTTTGTATTTTGTTTTGCTATGCAAATAATTTTTAATAATAATTACTTAATTATTAACTAATAAGTTTTGTTTTGTTAAATTATTTATTATGGTTATTGTTTATCTGTATACATTACACTATAGAGTATATGTCAATGCATGTGCAATAGCATAGGTTGTATTTTTTTATGTATTCACATAAGACATTTTCAAGCACATGTCCAATCTGCAAACTTAATTATTTTTATCCTGATGTCGAATGACAACGGTTTGCCCTTTCCCATTCCTGAATGTGAAGGAAATGAGTTCTGTAAATAACAGTATTTTATTTAATATTAAATTAAATTTCATCAACAGGTTTGTAACTTTATTAGTATTTTAGCTTTCAAAAGTTTTGACCATATAAAGATTAGTTTCCCTCCTTAAATTAGGAGGTTGCAAAATATACATCATCATAACTTTTGAATGCTAATATGAACTCATTACCCTTATATTTAGATATAGGAGAGCAAAATTTTTTGGGTATTTTAGTTTTCAAGCACCTATGTATTACTTATAACAAATAATAGATTATAACTTATTTTTTCATTGTCATTCCAGGCAGACATAAAAAGTTTGAAGTATGCACAAAGCCTGAAAGTGTCAAATATGGAACCTAAAAAACCTGCCTTTGCCACTGACTGTATAAAGGTTTTTTAAGGTAAGAGCTTAAATAAATTAACAGAAAAAAAATATTATACTAAAATAGAATAAAAAAATATATTTGTAGTTTCAGTTTTTATTGTCACAAATATTAAATATTTCTGACACAGAATACAGATATAGATGTCTGTCTTCTTTAATGTCATTAAAGCTTTATCTACTGTTTTCTTTTTGTTCATGACCTAATTTCTTTTCATATCCATTTTTTTTTAGGTCTGTTTGTCAAGCGTCAAGTTAGGTTATTTTGCTACTGGTACCATGTAGTACATCCTGCTTAAGCAGGTTGTACGCCATCCATACGACGTTTGGGCATCTGTTTGTAAAATATTGCTGCAAATCTTTTTGAGAGAGCCATTACTATGGAGAACCATCTAAACCATACAAGTGTGGAAACATGGATGTAAGTCTTAAACACATTTGTGATATATAATTGTATAATGTTATATGTTATAAGTTTGAAAATTATATTCTGCTAAAAAAACTTTTTAAATGTATTTTAGCAGAACATACCTGGCCCGCATTTGATCCTGAAAAACGTTCTTTTTGGACCAAATGCTGGCTGGGTAATTTGGACTTGTAAATGAACTTATATTCATAATTTTCAAACTGCTTATGATCTGATCTGATTTTATTTTTGTCGTTTTTTATTTAGATTAATGTGAAATAAACTGATGAGTTTATTTAACTTAGCTGGTAAAAAAAAGAGTTTTCGCGAAACAAATTTAATAAAGACAATTATAGGTATACCTGTTAATGTAATATATTTTGTATTGTGTTTTGCATGCTTATTTTTGACGCATTTTTAAATACTGCAAACTCACACTCGCACAAAAATCAACTGTGAACTCTTATTTAATCAGTTGCAAAAGTTGACTTTGAAAATTTTGTATAAGATATTATAGCTTATTTATTAGACTGTGTTTTTAGAATGAAGTTTATTCATTTGCTGGCAACACTTTTAAACGTGGTCCACATCGAAAAAATTTGGTGCTAGAAATTGTCAATAGTGGAAGTGATAGATGCATCGAACCTAATTTGTAATTAATTTCTGTAAACAAGTTTCACTTTACTAGTTTTTGTGTTGAATTCTTGTTTTTCTAATATAAATTGAAATTAATAAGTCTATAAATTAACGTATAAAAAAATACGCACCAAATAAGACCTATTTATACATAATGTTTTTCATTATTTCTAAACTATAACTTAAACTAAACTCAATTTCTTAGTCCTATCGGGACGTCTTTTTTATGTTTCTCGTAAGGCGTCTTTTTTACGATCCTCTCAGGACGTCTTTTTCACGTTCCTTCTGGGACGTCTTTAAAACGCTCCACGCAGGACGTCTTTCTGTATTTCCAAATCCAACCACTTTAAGACGTCCAATCGGGACGTCTTAAAGACGTACTAAAGCCGTCCGCGTGCCCACTGGGCTATATCATATCTTGGTCTTTTTATTGACTGCTATCCTTCAAGGGGTTTTCACAATGATGAGCTAAACAAGAAACAAATTTGAACCAATAGTTTGCTTACAATAACTTGCCAATGCCGATAAATTTAGCCTTAAAATTAATAACCATGCATTATTCTCATTCTCTTTTAGTTACTGTTGTCAATACATTGTATTTCTTCATAAAAGTCGCATTCCAGCCTTTCTGGCACATTCTTTTATTTGTTTATTTTTACCATTTTTTAATATCTCTTACAATTTCAATAAAGTTCATTGCTTTTCTTTATTTTTACGTAAAACATTAAAACAAACATTAAAGTGTTTCGAAAGCTGTTCAAAAATAACTTTCATGACCAACTAATACTGCTTTTAAAGTTTTAAAGTTTAAACTATTGAGTTCAATGTACAATCGTTTCATATTTTGATTACTAAAAACAATTAAATTGAGATTTCTGCTTTAATATTTAAGTTTATTATTTGCCTCAAATTAAAATAAAAGTTGTTGAGTAGAATCAAAAATTAAAATTGAAATTAAAAAATACAAGTTTTTTAAATTTTAATTAAAAATACAAGTTTTTCTAAAATTAAAAAGTACAAGTTTTCTAAATTTCTTTCTTGATTTCTAAACATTTAATAAGAAGTTGAATCTTACCTTTTTTAATTTTACATACAAATCCATAAAGATTATCACAACTAGCATCACTCCAACCATAAGAACTTACTTCCACGCAGTTTTCTCTTCCAAAGGAATTGTCAGGTTGATCCTGCCTCCAATTAAAGAATAACGGAGTTGTATTATCAGACCAAACAATTCTTCTCTGAAGAGTATTGAGACCTTTAAAAATATTGAAAATAAGTTTCAAAAAAATTATCATTAAAGTTAAACAAACATAGTGAAGCAGTTAAAATTAGCGTGCCAATCCAAAAATGCAAATCGTTCATGCTGTTATTTTTGAGATAGTTTAAAATAAATAAATTTTCTTCTTGATCTGCTACACTGAGCAAATTTCCTCCATTAATTAAACAAGATGAAAAAAAATCTGTCCAACTTTTTCCAGACTGTGTGGGATTTCCAGTTTGGAAAAGATAACAATATATTCCATATTTAACCCAACCATCAGGACAAACTTGGCCATCAATCTCTAAAAAAGTTTTATAACATCACCTTTTGTAAATTTCAAACGAACAATTCAATTCAAAATAAATAAAACTACCACTTGCAAGAAAAATATTTAAATATTCCGAAATAAACTTTTATTATAACAATACTATAACACACTTTTTGCATTTTTAAATCTTTTTTTTCCCAATGTCTATTTCTTAAATTTTTGTTATTTCCTGGTGTATTATATGTTAAAAAGCTGTTATACTTTTTAAAGTCATCATTAACCTCATTACTATATACATATTTAGTAAAATTAAGGGTGTATTTCTCTTCATAAGACAAAATTATTATTGTTATCAGGGATTTTTTAGTATATTGTATGAAAGATGTATGTTCTACAAAAATAAAAAATTTATTTGAACATATAAACGTTGGCAGATTATATGAACCACATATTAGTATGTGTAAGTTATAACGCTAAACTGTTCGAATTTTAACTTTTATTTAAACTGTGCATGATGTAACGCTAAACTATTCAAATTTCAAATATTTCTCAATCTAAAAATCTTAAGGCCGAAAAAGCAAACCTTTTACAGCAATTAATACTTTTTAACTACTCAACATGTGGAATGCAAAAAAGAAAAATTTTTACCTGGAAAAAAAAAGTTAAAGTCTGTTAAATTTTCTAATTGCGTTCAATAAGAGTTAACATAATTTTTTTTTTTTTTAATTAAAATTTTTGAAAGCCTTATGTAGAAATTTGAAAGAAATTTGAAAGAATGTTTGAATTGAAAATTTAAAAAAATTAAGTCTATTTCGTGTTAGTATTTATAAGTTATTAAGGCGTTTTTAAAAGTTTATTTATGTTACCTTGAAGTAACAAATAAACTTATAAATGTGTACCCAGGAAAAAATACCAAGATGAAAACTCAAATAACAAGTTTGATGATTTTAAAATAATAGTAAAAACCTTAGTTTACAAGTTACACGAAAAATTACCAAATAATTGTATTAAAAAAGTAAAACCCTCTATAAGTTCCATAGCCAATATATAAAAATTCAAAAAAGTAAAACCCTCTACAAGTTCCATAGCCAATATATAAAAATAAGTAGTTCTTGACAACATAAAGCAATGACGTATAACTCTAAAGAAACCCAAAATTTGATAAATACAGGTAGCACAAAACTAATTTAGACAAATTGTGTTCAACAGTTGTAATAAGTGATGTTATACTATTTTACAACATATTTACCTAATTATTGTAAGAAGCGCTATTACACTATTTTAAAACATATTTACCTAATTATAAATGTTCCATTATTTTGTAAACTTATTTACATATTTTCTAGAAGACTATTTTAATTTGTAAAAAAAATTAGAAAATAAGGGAGGTAGATTTACTCGTTCATGATTTCAGATTAATAGACAATTTAATAATAATAAAATAAGCAAGATCACAAGGTTTGAATATCTTGTATTTAAACCAGGGATGCCGTAAGTTTGGTGCAGCGACTGATTTGTAGCAGTCTTCTTTCTATTGTATCGCATGGAAGCTATTAAATTTCCACCACTTATTGGAAACATCAGGCGTCATAGTCTTAAGAGAAGGAGAAAACATTTTATATGAGTGCAAGAGAGTGCTAGATAACTTTAAGTATATGAACAGATGTCCAGCATTGAAGGGTGCTATTTAAGTCGGGAGTTTTCTTCAGTGATTGAGTTAAACTTACGTCAGTGTGTTTTAAGTTCCCGTTGAGTAAGTTGAGTTATATATAGGGCACAACAAAAGCAGTATTATAGAAAACAGCGACAACTAAATATAATGTAATAACAAAAGTACGAGTTACTTACAGAAAAAGTATACTATTGTTTTGCAGTGAAAGCTATTAAAGTTCCACCACTTGTATGGAACCATGAGGCCGTGATAGTCTTAAGAGATAGGAGAGATGTATTATATACGTTCAAGGGAGTGCTAGATAGATTATAATCTTTGGCTATGTGTCCCATATTGAGAGGTGGTTTTTAAGAGAGGAGTATTATTCAGTGAATAAGTTAGAGTTAAAAGAAAGTTGTATATATATACTTGTATATCTTTATATATCTAAAAGGGTGGCCAAAGTTTTTTTCCATTTTTTATTGCTTTTAAATAAAATGTATATAGTTAGGCTGGCACTTTCCGAGTTTTGGAGAGGCCAGGGCAAGTTATGAATCGGAGGTCCTAAAAGAAAGATTTGCGAAAAATTTGCGCAAAACGCGATGCAAGTTAATGCTAAACCATTTAAGTCTTCAAATAGTATGGAACCAGATAAATGTGTAACTTTCAGAATAAATATAATTAATTAGACGGACAGTCACTCACAGATGTGGCGTTTTTTGTACGTTTTATCAAGCCAAATAGGCAAAAAAATGCGCTAGTCTATTAACTACACATTTTTTAGGGAGGTCTGGGTACTGGAAAAAAACGACCGTACGATTAAACTGTTAAGGTCCTTTGATGTTAAACTGTTAAGGTCCTTTTCCAAAAGACGAAAAATTTGTGCAAAGCAAATTTTTTTTTTCGTCGTTAGGCATGCGCAAATTAAACATTTTTGGCGATTTTACTGATTTTTTTTCGCTGCAGCGAAAAAAAAAGTCGGATTCATTTCGACTTTTTGGGAATCGTCAGAAGCAAAAACCAATCAAGTTTTAAATATTATATCACGTGATGTCAACATAAAAAAAAAAGCAAAAACATGTTGTTTTAAAGTAAAATTCTCAACCTGCCGTTCTTATTAATTTTATATGAACTTACTCTGAAAATTGGCAAGCATGAGTAAATTCATGAAACAAGGGGCGAGACTTACATAAAAAAATGACCAGATTTATATATAAAACTAATTCAAGAATTTACAAATATAAGTTTCCACACTGTCAATTACGAAAGTTTCACTTCATATGAATATTTATTTTCAAGTGGCCACACGAAGATAAACCTATTTGTGAAAAACTCTACATAGAGTGAAACCTGCTGTTCGTTTTTGTAGTAACATTTTTTTAATCGAAATGTTTATATCAGAGTTTAGCATTTATTTTCTTATACTTTCCTGTAAAAAAAAACCTTATATTGAATGATTATATTTCAAAACAATATCATATCTTACATATAAAGGCAGAAATGTTAATATTAATGCATGGAAAGATATTTTCACATGCCTCAAAGTAGAAAGTATGCTAAAAAAGTAATAACTGCATTTAGTTAAACATACAACGTAAACTTATTGCTGCCATTTTTATTGTTGACAACGAAAAAAAAGTAGCGCGAAAGAAAGTAAGTGGAAATTAAAACAGCGTTTCGTCATAGCGAAAAAATTCGCTTCGCGCGAATATTTCGTCTTGTGGAAAATGGCCTTTACTAAATTATGTGTTACAATTCAGATTTCACAAATGTATGATAAATACATATATAATTATTCATTGATTTTTGTTCATTGTTTTTTTTTTTGATAGGTAATTATTTGCAAATCACTATAAATGAATAGTTAAATTAAGGACACATTTTGAAAATGAAACTTAAATAAATTTACTTAATTTAATTAAAACAGAATGATTTAGTCTTATTTAACTTTCACAAAAGTTTTTCTTGCTTTTTGTTCTGAAAATGCAGCAATAATATTTTTTAGTTTATTTTTATATTAAGCCAGTTTTCGTGTAATATCGCATTTTATATTCAGCACAGCAAGTCTATTCAACTGTTCCTGCCCCATAGTTAAACGATGATAATTTTTTATCTGCTTTAATACACTTAATGTGCTTTCGCCCAAAGCCATCGATGCAGGCAAGTTGATAAAAATGTGTAATGCAATTGTAATGCTTGGAAGTACACCTGATAGACCAAGTCCGTGAATTTCCTCAGTCTAGTGTGCAGTCTTGTATAAAAATAACACCATACTAGTGTGCAGTCTAGTATAAAAATAACACCATACATTCTTTTAAGAAATAAAACCTTATTTTTAAGTTCTTTTCAGATATCTTAGTCATATTTATGCTAAAAATGTTGAGCAGCCAATACAAGATCTCTGTCATTCAAATTTTTAAACTGTCATAAAAATCCAAAAAATTTATAAATTTCTTGTAACGATTGAAATGGTCGAGTGAGGCCAGATTCAATCGAGTCAATGATGAAAAAATATACATTGATTTTAAAATACAGCTCGGTATTATCTTGACTTGTAAATGTCGATTAGTTAATAACTCACATGAAACATCAATATTTCTTGCAACAAATTTTGACTCAGTTAAAATCTTATCAAATTGTTCATTACGTAGATTTTCATCTTATCAAATTTCATTACGTAGATTTTCAATATTAATCTTTATAATATCAAGAGTAGTATGTGTCATGATTACTAGATTTGTCTGATGAACAATCGTGAGTACCTTCATCCAGATGGACAACATCAAAATGCAATCAAATTAGGAAATATAATTTTAAATAGCATTGAGTTCCATTTTAGCCTAAACTGTTAAATGTAGCACCCCAATTTCATTTAAAGCACTTCTTACTGAATTCAAATGTTGTGCAACTAGTTTAACACCATCAATCCGTGCTGAATTTTCCACCTTAGAGGACTGCTACTCAATAAATAGTACATTTGATGAATTGTGCCAAAATATGATACTGCTTCTTTGCATAATTCAGCACAATCGACACCAACTAAAATTAGTATGTGATTCCCGCAGCAAGAAAATATACAGCTTGGATTTTTTTCTTTCAAAACCGCTTGCACCCCGCTATACTTTCCAGCCATATTAGCACCGTTGTTTTGAGAATGACCATTGCAGGCTTTGAAATCCAGCTTCAAAGTTTTCAGTATTTCGAGTGCTCTAGCAGCATTTTATCTTCAAATTTTTTTAAGAAATTTTAAAATAATATAAATCTTTCTTCAACTGAAAAATTTGAGTTATCTAAAATTTTAACATGACGGATAACTAGAGTAGTTTGCTCCTTGCACGAGCAATCTGGAGTAGCATCAACTATTATTTAAAAAATATTTTGTATTCACATTTTTATAGAGGATTGCTGTTTAAACATGTAAACCATAAATATTAATAAATTCGTTCTGAATTCTTTTTGAAAGATATTGAGCTTGCATTCACTGCTTACACTGTTGTGATTCTCGAACACGTTTAACATGTTCAGCTAAAAGTGGGTCATATTTGATAAGAGCTTCAATAATAACTAAATAGTTTCCGTTCGCTCGACCACCTATTTGTTGATTTGAACCAAAAAGTGGAAATCAACGTTCAGGA